CAAGCTCTTAGGGGAGCAGAAGAAAAGCAGGAAGAATTTCAATGTTTAATTTTTTTTAAATTGACTTTTCTAGTTATTAAAAGTTGCTTGTCTCAGCAGTGATATTGTATAAAGAACATCTTGTAAAATATTTCTGTCATCTTGCTTTGGCACATGTACAGTACAATTTATATGATAATGTGTTTGCTTTACTTTACCCCATCTCCTCCCTCAGCCTGTCCTCTCTCCTTCAGAGAAGTTGGGCTGGAGGCTCAGCAGGGCAAGCAGTGGCGCCTGGTGGCGACGGGGGCGTCCCTCTGCCTGCTGTGGTGGCTGTTTCCGCCTCCTTCCGCGCCTGTTCTGGCCGCAGACTTGGAATTCCCTGAGAACCTGAATCTTTGAGTGGCCCGTGTCAGTGGGGGATGGGAGGAGGGTAGGGAGGGGCTCAGACAGCCCCCTCCCACAGTGAGTCTAGCGCTAGTGGTTAGATTTAGGCAAAACTTTGTAGTCTTCTTTCCCTTTCATGGCAGATTTTGATAAAAATGCAAAACAGGGTTTAATTTTCTTTTCTATCAGCTTTTAATTTGGAAGATTTGAGCACCTAAGCTCTTCTGTATCTATTTGAATTAAGGGAAAAGAAGTCCACCAAGGGGATTGCAACTCATAGGACCTGAGAATAAAGCCTCGTGATATTAAACTTCAAGGTGTGGTCCCTGTCTCTCCCCTGTCCTCCTCGCCCAGGGACTTTGGGGATTTGTTCCAGTGGCTGCTGGATAGGTTTACCGTCCCTTCTCCCACAGGCTTGGAGTTAGCACTGACATTACAACTTCGTAATCCCAGCCACCAACACCTTCCTGTTTCTTACCCTAGAGCCAGTCTGTTCTTGTTAACAGTGCGAAACCCGTGTTCCCACTTCAGTGACACCTGAATTGTTTGTTGTTTTTTTAATGGTCTTTAAGGAGGAAGGACCCCATTAAAGGGTAAACTTGTAATAAATTGGAATTTCAAATAAACATTATGTACTTGTGTTTATAAAGAAAAAACAATTTTGGTGAACCTTTCTTTGTGCTCGTGGGGGTGGGAGTGGCTAGTGCAGTCCCCGCACGGGTCTCCCGGTGACTCTTGGAGCCAGTTCTTCTTCAGGATTGAGAGGACCCTCTGACTTGTCCTTTCAACCACAGGTCAGATCCATCTACTGCATTTCTTTGCTTCCGGGAGAGATTTCTGATGCCCTGGGTAATTGAAGCGTGACCTTTAAGCCTCCTACTTGTCTCTGTCTAAACTCCCCCAAAAATTTCATTTGAAACTGGTAGGAATTAGGGGGAAGTATTTTTTAAGGCTTCACTATGGGAATTTGTGTAGTCCTCGAGCACATGATTTTGGGGGAACTCCTGACGTTTTAAAACACTTTCATTTTGAGGAAAATTTCAAACACACAAAAAGAGAGTGAAAATATAATGAATTCCTGTGTACTCAGCCTCAACAATTCTACCATATAGCCAATTTTATTTTATTTATGGCTTCATTTATTTTTTATAAAGTCAGAGTGGTTGATTTGAATAGGTCACTGCTAGGTGGCAACCTGTCTATGGAATTCAAAGATTTTGCAGCACCCCTCCATGACCCCATGTACGGAGAAGTGAAATGTCCAGTTCCTGACCAACTGAATCGGGGACAGCAGAAGGTAAACAGGAAGAAATGCGAGGAGAAACCTAAGCCCTGGGTGTGTGTTCTGCCACTGACTCGCTTTGTGGCCTTGGTGAGGGTGGGCTTCGAGCTGGTGCTGAGCACTTGGGGATTTTCAGTCCTGCAGGGGAGGAAGTGGATTGCCCCAAGGTCAAGTCGAATTTGACCAGCCCTTAAGTTCTGGAGAACGGGAGCTGTGGTACCTCTGAGCATTTTCTACACAATCACTGTTGGACTCGGGCTCCCAGCCTGCATCTGTGAAACCCTTTTCCTAGCGTGGGTTTCTTAGGCTATAAGGATAGTGCCTGTGGGGCCTTGTCACCTCATCTAGGGTCTATCCCGGTCCTTTTCAACCATCTCAGCCCCTTTCTCCCTACCAGGGGTGTTACCTAGGGGGAGCCACCTAATTTGGGTTGACTACTGCAAATGGGGATAAGAGAACCTTTTCCTGAGGACAGGGTTCTGAATCATTACTTCTGGGAATCAGCTGAGGGCTCCCCCTCCCATGTATTCTTCCTTCTCCTCAAACCCTGTCTCTGGGGAGAGAGCACTGTTGGGTGGCAGTGAAGTGGTGTCTGGATTCCAAACAACCACTCAGGGGCAGGCCCTCTTCCACTAGGAAACCATGTCTCCAACTTGCCAGGGAGCCAGGGTCTCCTTAGGATGTTGAGTGAGAAACTCAAGGCACGTAGGGAGAAAAGCTTGCCCTTTGGTTACCGCTTCCATTGCTACCCCTGCCCGGGGCCTTCAGGCCTTGGTACATGCTGGACTGCCCCCACCTCCCCCGGGGCCTGGAGCTGCTTCCTTCAGGGGGGGACTGAGAGCAGGGACTGACCCTTGGGGCCTCTCCTCAGTCTGACCTCAGTCAAGATCATCCCTGCTAACTCCTGTGAACTCTGAATCGTGTCCCTGGAACTAAATAGGTCAGAGCTACCAAGTTCCTAACCCTGGCCCTCCCTCGCACAAGCTCAGACCACACAGACAGGCTAAGCCTGCATGGACATGCGCAAACAGCCACTGTTCTGAAGATCCACACGCTGGGCCACCAGGCCAGTGAGGGGAGGGCCTGGGGTCACACTACACAGGCCAGCAGATGTTGGTTTCTGAGGCGTTTTTCTTGGGCTCTGGGATTTCCTTTCTGGGGGTGGGGGGAGGTCCTGCTGTGGGAGGGGTTTCTTTGGACAAAACCACCCAGGTTATAACACCTGCCATCCCCCCAGGATGGAACCTGTGGTGTGGTGGGAGTCACAAAGGCTCGGAGGCCGCAGACTGCCTGGCTCTGATCTGGAGCCAGCCAAGCCCTCCAAGCACTGCCCTGTCTGTAAAATGGGGAGAGGAGGATCAAATGGAGAACTTCTGTACAAGGTCTTTACTAACTTCCCTTCCTTTTCCTCCAGGGTCTGGCACTTTTCCTTAGTGTTTTCCAGTGCTGAGAAGCCTTAGCTGGCAAGGCCTGCACGCCCTCCCTCCCAAGTCCTGGCCCATGTGAACCATCCCAGCCTCAAAGCAGAGTCCCCTTTGGCGCATCCCAACTACACTGCCCCTCCTCCCTCATCCCTCCTATCCAGTTGTTCTGGAAGCCAGTCTTGTTTCCGCTGAGCGGGACATAGCCAAGCACCACCCCTCCCCCATCCACCGACTGGCAAGGAATAGGGGTGAACTGATGCCACGCTTGATGCTCCCCTCCCCTTCCCCCTTCGCCCATACACGCAGCACTTGCCTTCCCTTCCCCAGTCTCTGGAATCCTCTCCTTTTGCTCCGGCTGCCCCTGCCCTGGTGCAGGCCCTTAGCAGCTTCAGCTCCGCTCCCTGCAAACCCGGCCTGTGAGCCCAGCACAATGCAGCCGCTGCCTCTCCCACCCCCAACTGGGCCCCAGTCCCCTTGAAATATGCTCATTCTGTCTCAGTCTAGGACCCTCACAGGGAGCGTTACAAGGTGTGAGGGTCACTGGGCTTTGCTGGTCAAAGAATACACGGGGACTTACTCTGTGCTCTCTGGAGGGGAAGCGGTTAGATGTGGAAGACATTCCACGTGCAAGAAATGCACAAGCAAAGGGTGCAAACTGTTCCTCGTGGTGAGGGACAGCCCATAACCTCCCTCAGGTGAGGAAGCTGTCTTCTGGGGATTTGACACCACCTGTTTGATTTTCGTCTGGTTTCTTTCTTGTCCCTGTGAGATGGGTGGCTGGTGTAGGGCAGAGCTCCGGCCGAGAGGCCCTGGGTTCGAGGGCTCAACCCCACTACTGATGTGGAGCAGTCGACCTTGGGCCTCCCCTTGGCTCCAAAGCAAGGCTGGCAGCAGGGCTGGGCCCCTGGGGCCTTCTGGCAGTGCCAGTGAACGCTAGCTCTGTGTATTATGCACCCAGGGACAGTAACCAAGACCCTCACCTGGCTGGAGTCATCACAGTGGTCAAAGCAGAGGCTAAGGTGGGGCTCTTGGGTCTGACCCCAGCCTGATGGCCGCACACACCTGATAGTGGACAGAGACAGTGCAGGTCCCAGCAGCCCTGGGCTCCTCCAGCATACATTTACACACAGTACCTTTTCCCACCACCGGTACACAAATGTGCCAGCAGCCTCTCCTGCACCTGTCCCATTTCTCACTGCTGCTCAGCACCTCACACCTTCCCACAGCCCTTCAGGCGCTGGGACCCCATTCCCACTATACTCAGGGGCTCCCTGTCTCTGTGACCATGTTGTCTGTGCTACCAAGACGCCCAAATGCCAGTCAAGCCCCATATCTCTCCACTGAGAGAGATGAGGGGGTGGGGTGGGCACTGACTAGGGCCCCAAGGAGTGAGGTGGACACACCAGCAATCTTCGAAAGCAATGAGGACAGTCAGACTCCAGCCTCAGCCCTCAGGCCCCAGGGAGGGGACAACAGGATGGGTCAACAGGAGACAGTGGGAGCTGGTCCTGAGCCTCCGAGGGAACCTCTGAGACAGGCTGATGCCCTCATTTTCTACACTAATGAGAGAAGCAGAGTCTTAGCCACAGCTCCCAAACAAGCTAGACTCCCCAGGGTTAGAAGTGGGGGTGTCATCCCAGGGGACTCCCTGAGTATGCTGGCAGGCAGCCCAGTCTCACTTGGGGAAGCAGGAACCCAGGACTCAGAGACAAGCAAGCAAGTTGCCAAAAGGAGCGAAGACAGGTGAGAGGGGAAACACATACACCCAGAATCTGGGACTCCTGCAAAATACAGCTGTTCCACAGGGGATGTCCTCCTGATTGGTGGGGAGCCAGAGCACCCACCCCCAGCTCTGCTCACAAGGGAGACTCCTGCAGGGCCCTCACCCTCCTACCTTCCCCCTTTCCAGCCCAGAGAGGACTCAGCACTGCCACACGGGGGTTTATTCCAGTCACAGCTTCCAGAGAAACTCAACAATAAATTACATCATTAAATAAACTCCCTGCTGGACCACGCCCCCTTCTGCCCCTCCGACTCTCCACATCCTCCCCCAGGACCCTGTAGGGACTCAGCCAGGCCCACTCCCTGCGCCACGCGATTTGGGAGTAAGCCTCACTGGGTCCTGACAGTAGGTTGAAGGAGAGTCTGCCCGCCCTGGTCCTCTGCCCCCTCGCACTCACTTGCCTGACCTTGACAGCTGGGCAGCTGCTAGTCAGCTGTCTCCTCCGGAGGGGGGCTAGAAGGGGACAACAGCCGCCCCTGCAGGCCTGTGTCCCTAGAGGTGTGTGGGGTTCTCCAGAGAGGGGTCCGTCTTAGTCATGTGCAAGACCACAGTGGGGGCCTTATAGTGGCAGTGGGTGCCACGGCCATAGCCCCCAGGGGCCCGGCAGGCCTTTGCCCGGGCCCGGCCAGCTGCCATCTTGCGGTGGCACAGACTCTGCCAGGTCTGGAAAGTCTTGGAGCTCCATACCCAGACACCACTGGTGATGCCCACCACTAGCGACATGAAGATTTTGAGCATAAAGACAGCCACGGTGGGCACGGAGCCCCCTTGCAGCGAGCAGTCCCTCCGGCCTCCAGGTACTGCGGGTGCTGTGCACGGCTGCTCCGTGGCCCGAAGGTGCCAGAAGTCCATGTTGAGGCGTTCATAGACGTAGCAAACAATGACGCAGGTGGCAGGCACCGTGTAAAGGATGGAGAAGACCCCAATCTTGACCATGAGCTTCTCCAGCTTCTCCGTGTTGGTGCCGCCTGTCTTCATGATCTTGCGGATGTGGAAGAGGGCCACGAAGCCGGTCAGGAGGAAGCTGGTGCCTAGTACCAGGTAGCAGGAGAGAGGCACCAGCACGAAGCCCGTGAGCGCAGCCGCATCCATGCTGGCCACGTAGCAGAGCCCGGTCAGTTCATCCCCCGCCACTTTGCGCAACGTCAGGATAACGATGGTCTTGAGGGCCGGCAGGCCCCAGGCCGCCATGTGGAAGTAGCTGCCATGGGCCTCGATGGCCTCGTGGCCCCACTTCTTGCCGGCCGCCAGGAACCAGGTGAGTGTGAGCACCACCCACCACAGTGAGCTGGCCATACCAAAGTAGTAGAGCAGCAGGAAGACGAGGGTGCAGCCCGTGTTCTCCAGGCCCTCCTGGATCACGTAGAGCGCCCCTGCCTCCTGGTCGCAGGCCACGCTCTGCGCCCCAGCCACGGCGCGGATGAGGAAGGCCAGCGAGTAGACGTTGTAGCACATGGAGAGGAAGATGATGGGGCGCTCGGGGTACTGGAAGCGGTGAGGCTCCAGCAGGAAGGTGAGCACGGTGAAGGCCGTGGAGAAGAAGCACAGCGCCGACCACACGGCCATCCAGACGAGCGCGAAGTCCTTGTCGCGCTGCGACCAGAACACCTCGACGCCGGGCCCGCAGCGCGGCGCGCACGAGCGACTCTTCTCCACGTACTGGAACTTCTCGGGATTCTCGCAGGTGCCGCTGCCGCCCGGGCCGGGGACGGCATCGCCGGGGGGCCGCGCGGGCCGCGGCGCCACGGGCAGCATGCCCAGGCCCTTGTGGGGCTCGGCGGGGCCGGCCGTGGCATTCTCCGGCGCCTCCATGCAGAGAGCGTGCGGGTCGTTGCGCGTGGGCAGCCTGGCGCAGTCCAGCGAGTCCGGCCAGCCGAAGTTGAACTGCTCCATGATGGGCGCGCAGCGCAGGCGCGCCTGCTCGCACATGGGCCGGCAGGCTGGGATGGGCGTCGAGACCTGGTCGGTGCACATGGGCGCGTAGAGCGAGCACAGGAAGAAGCGCAGGTGGCTGTGGCAGCCGTACTGCACGAGCGGCGCGAACTCGGCCAGCTCGGCAGCCGCCTCGCCCTGCGACGTGTGGCCCAGCAGGTTGGGCATGCGGGTCAGGTTGTAGCCGATGCCGCGGCACATGGGGATCTCCACCGCCTGGCACGGCGCCGGCCCGCGCCCGCGCTCCGGGTCGAAGCGACCGATCTCCAGCGCCGCGCCGCCCGCCGCCAGCAGCTGCCACAGCAGCAGCGCCCCGCGGAACGGCGGCACGGCCATCCCGGGCGGCCCCGGCCGAGGGCAGGAGGGCGGCCTCGGCTCACTCGGGCCGCGCCGTCTGGCGCCCCCGTGCCCACCCGCCACGTCGCGGGGCGCGGGCCATCGCCGAGCCGCCCGCGTGCATCCGGGCGCCGCCGAGCGCCCTGGGCAGCGCGCGGGGAAGCCGCCCGAGGGAGAGGAGGCGCCGAGCCCACCGAGCCGCCACCGCCGCCACTGGAGCGGCCGGGGAGCCAGAGCGGGCACCGCCTCCCGGGGCCGCGGCTACAAGCCTCGGGGCGGGGCGCCCGGCGGACACGCCCAGGGGCGGGACCCCCCGCGCGCCGGGCACGCCCCCCCGCCGGGCTTTAAAGGCGCCGCGCCTCGGAGCCGAGCGGGGGGAAACAACGGGCCGCGGTCCTGGGGCCCGGGTGTGGGCGCGAACTCGTCTGCCCGCTCACACTCGGTTCTTCCCCATTGCTTGCCCACCCTCTCCCCGCGACAGGACAGCCAGCCGCAGGATTCCCTTGTCTCCCTATACGGGGTCACCTCTCTCCTCCCGGCTGTGAGACTATTTCCAGGGTTTCCACGCGTGGGAAGCCTCGGCTTTGTACTCAGTGACAGTTCAAGTGCAGCCTCTGCCTCTTCACTAGTTGTTTGTGACTTTCGGCTCTTCTCTCTGAGTCTCAGTTTCCTTTTCTGTAGAACAGGCAGATAATCCTACGGTAAAAATTAGCAACTCATTTGTTGCTCACGTGCTGCTGACCAGTCACTACACACTTGACCTCATTGTCTCGTCTGGCAATGATACGCTAGCCCTCTCTCAGATGGGGAAACCGAGGCTCAGGGAGGAGTGACAGGTCCAAGGACATAAAGCTCTTAAATATTCCGTTTGTGATTGTCTGACTCCGGACCCCGTACTCATTTCACAAGGCTGCAGTCCTCCCATCGGGAGGGGTGTTGTCACCCTATCGGCTGGGAGGGCCTGTTCTCTCTAGGGCGCCCCTTGGGCACCTCTTGGACCTGCTTAGAAACTGCTTCCCACAGAGCTGGAGGACTCGATTTCAACACCCTCCCCCCACCCCCTTGTTCTCTGAGCTCCCTTGGCAAAGGGCTTTCCCTCTGAATTCCTCTCTGCCCTGGGAGCCTGCAGTTCTCTGGTGCTGCCCACACCACCCAGCCCCACCAGGCCCCCAGAGAGGCCTGTTCTCCTTCCTGTGCCCACTGAGCCCACGGGCGACGTACAGTGACATCCCATGGAATGTCTCAGGAGTGCACCTCACACCCTCCTCACCTAAACCTGATGATAGCCATCAGAAGGATACCAGATTATTACTCCCCCAGCTCCCTACACCACGGGGAGGGGCAGACTGTCCCTTCCGATGTACGAATGGAACCAGCGAGGCACCACACAGCAGTAACCATGACTCCCTGGGGACATGGCTCAGCCTGCCAGTGACAGCTGACAATAAGTGAGTGAGGCTGAGACTGAGGTACGTGAGCTGTGAGCAGCACGGCTGCAAGACCCTGAGCTTCCCAGGGAGGCAGGATACCTCAGGAGTAGGGTACCTTTGGAAAAAGGACCTGGTTTTGACCACCTGGTCAAGGATAACGGAGGTTCCTAAAATGCCAGTGACAGCATCCCATTGTCCAGGGCGAAGCGCACCTGGGGATGGTAGCAGAAGCCCCTCCGGGCACAGTTCCCCACCTGCCTCCTCATTTCCTGCTACGTCCCTCCTGCCTCCCATCTCCCCAGCCCAGAAGGCTGTCTCTTCTGCTGTCTGGCACACCAGCCTCCAGCATTACTTCCTAGGGGCAGCCCCCCAGCTCTCCTGGGCGGGGCTGGAGGCTCTGTTCTGTGGGCTCAGGGTCCTCACCCACTCACTGTCCCCCCACGTGTGCACTCACATACTATTAGCCCCCCATCTGTACCCCCTCTGTTCCAATACCAGCAGCTGCTCAAGGACCATGGGGACATTTTACTTCTCCCTGTATCTTGCTCCAAGGAGGCAGAGGTGCGTGGAGGATAGTGGAGCATGGCCCTGCCTCCCGAGCCCCCACATCACGGTTTCTGTAGGAGGTGGGGGCTCTGGAGCTGCCCCCTCTGCTGGCGGCCTCACCGGGCAGCTGAGAATGGTGGAGGCTCCCCGCTGCTAGGACTGGCTTGGGAGCCAGGTTTTCTGTGCCCCTGCCCCCCGTCAGGGTGGAGAGGGGTTGAGGGGCCCTTCCTCTGGCAGCCATAGTGGGGAGGGTGCCCCAGGAACTGTGGGATGCCAGGCCTGTCACCATGGCAACAGCTGATCCTGGGAAGCCAGAGGTGGGGGGTGTGGAACAGCCTCTCCCCCGGCAGATGCTGCCTGGGAGAGAAGAGGCCTCTTGGGCTGCCTGCCCACCCACCCGGCTTTGTCACTCGATCCCCCTCTTTACAAAGGTGGAACAATACTCGAGGCCTCACTGAAAGGGAGACTATGAGGAGGACCGGAGGGGACCGGGAGGTGGGAGATTACCATCAATGCCCACCCCCATCCCTGCTCCACTGGGTGGAGGGGGCCAGAGATGGGGGCGAGGTGGGAACAGAACCCTCTCAACTGCTCTTCTCTGGGGAGATGCTTCCCTTCCTGGGGGCCCTTGGCTGTGGGCCAACGAGTTGCCCTGCACGAATGGGAAGGGACGCTCTCCTGACCTGTGTCCTCCCCGCCCCCCCCCCACACACCCCTCTAGACTCCCCGCACTCCCAGAGGCCCTTCCTACCACGTCCTCCCTGACTGTAGCCCCACTCACCCCACTGGACTCATGCTGCCTCTCCCTTCCCCACCTTGGCTCCGATATGGCCTCCTCCAGGACGACCCTCCACCCGCCTCTGGGCCTTCCAGCCACCACACCTGTGCCTGTCTCCCCACACGCCCAGGAGCTTCTGGAGGTCAGGGGCCAGGCCACACTCCTGGGTGTCTTGGCACCTGGCCTGGAGTAGGCTCCCATAAATGTTTACTGAATGAAAAAAATGTCGTAATGAGGAGGGGCTGTAGATCCTTCTGGAAGAGGCTGAGTGCAAGTGGGGCCCGAGGTTGGGGAAGGGGTGTTGATTGGACCCTGGGGGACAGAGGTGTCTGTGTGAGCAAATAGGAACCAGAAGGAGGGCTATCAAGCACCTCTAACAGGCGCCCAGGACACCCTCAGGAGGGGCTGTCGCTGGTGATGGAGGATCCAGCAGGTACAATGACACACCTGCTCCTGTGCATGGAGTGTCATTGAAGCCTGGGCAGATGGAGGTGGCGCCGGCACTTGAGTGTGCTGTGTGTGGGGGTCAGCAGCAAGTTAGGTGTGTGTGCACACTCGAGGACACGCGGGAACCAGGTTATTCCCGTGTGCACGTGCACATGTGCCCACGCACAGGGCGGGCTGGGTGAGGCACTCAGGTGCAGCTCTGGGAATGGGCCCACCTCTACCAAGCTTGAGCCCTGTTTCTGACTCAGCTTCCGTTTATGAGGATGTCAAGGGCTGCACTAGACTTCGATTCTTACTAAGAAGCGTTTTAAAAATTCCTTATTAGGGGGGCTGGCCTCGTGACGGAGTGGTTAAATTCAGACGCTCCGCTGCAGGCAGCCCAGTGTTTCATTGGTTCGAATCCTGGGTGCGGACATGGCACTGCTCATCAAACCACGCTGAGGCAGCATCCCACATGCCACAACTAGAAGGACCTACAACGAAGAATGCAGCGTCCCATATGCCACAACTAGAAGGACCCACAAAGAAGAATATACAACTATGTACCAGGGGGCTTTGGGGAGAAAAAGGAAAAAAATGAAATCTTTTAAAAAAATTCCTTATTAGGAAATCAAATATATCAAGAACTCACACAACTCAACAACAAAAAAACAAAGAACCCGATCAAAAAATGAGCAGAGGACATGAACAGACATTTTTCCAAAGAAGATACACAGACGGCCAATAGGCACATGAAAAGTTGTTCAACACCACTAATCATCAGGGGAATGCAAATCAAAACTACACTAAGATATCACCTTACACCCATTAGAATGGCTATAATTACCAAGACAAAAAACAACAAATGTTGGAGAGGGTGTGGAGAAAAGGGAACCCTCATACACTGCTGGTGGGAATGCAAACTGGTGCAGCCACTATGGAAAGCAGTATGGAGATTTCTCAAAAAATTAAAAATAGAAATATATGACCCGGCTATCCCACTACTGAAAGAACTTGAAATCAACAATTCAAAAAGACTTATGCACCCCTATGCTCATTGCAGCATTATTCACAATAGCCAAGACATGGAAGCAACCCAAGTGCCCACTGACTGATGATTGGATAAAAAAGAGATGGATATATATATACAATGGAATACTACTCAGCTATTAAAAAAAGACAAAATTGTCCCGTTTGCAGCAACATGGATGGATCTTGAGGGTATTATGTTAAGCGAAATAAGCCAGACAGAGAAAGACAAACACTGCATGATTTCACTCATTTGTGGAAGATAAATACATGGATAAGGAGAAGAGATTAGTGGTTACCAGAAGGGAACAGGGTTGCGGGGTGGGCACAAAGGGTGAAGGGGCGCATATATATGGTGGCTGACAATAATGTACAACTGAAATTTCTTAATGTTGTAAACTATTATGACCTCAATAAAAATTTAAAAATTCCCTATTAGGGTTTTTACAATTTTCACAACTAATTCAACATTAGGTGAGCAGTGAAATAAAACGATCATTGCTCCCTCCCCTTACAATCCTAGCCCTCAGGTAATCGGTATTAAGAGTTCAGGCATCGCTTTTAATACTTTTTCTAGACTTTATAAACACATGAAGTGCAGTCTTATCTTTCTTTCTTTTACTAAAATGGAACTAATGTTGTACATTTCACACCTAATTTTCCTCGCCTAAAAATCTATCATGAATAGATGGATGGATATATGATAAAAATAAGTGAAGAAAAATGTTAATGGTAGAATCTAGGTGGCGGGAATTCAGGGGATCACTAAAATTTTGGTCAACTTTTCCACATATTTTTTAATTTTCACAATAAAATATTTTTAAAAAAATCTATCATGAATGTCTTTTCATGTCAACACACAGGCTCCAACCCCTTCTTTTTGCTAGTCACTCTGATTTCCACAGTGTGGATTTATTATAAATTATTCAGTCAATCCCCTATGCATACACATTCAGACTATTTCTCTTATGATCTGTATTACCCACGCAGATGCATGGGC